GGACAGGAACATGAAAGGAGGAAGAATGGAAGAATAGGGACACAAGAATGACTGGGTAGAGACAGGTGAATGGACATAAGACTGTGGGTGAAAATTGTGTAGATCTTGCTATCGTATATTAAAGTCCACCAAAGAGCATCTGCCACAGAAGAGGCACTAAACAACCAACTAGACAAAATGGCTCATATGTCAGCCAGACCCTGTCATCAGTCACCCCAGTGCCAGGACAATGGGCATAGAATAAAGTAGTCTTGGTGACATAAATGGAGGCTATACATGGGTCGAACGACACGGACACCAGTTTAACAAGGCTGATGTCACTGCTAGTGCTACCAAATATCCAGCCTGCCATTAACAGAGACTAATGCTGGGCCTCCAATATGGAGACTAACTGACCATTGGATGGCAAGTTGAGTACATGGGGTCACTTCTCTTCTGAAAGGGCGAACAATTCATGCTCACACTAGACACGTATTCCTGCTATAGGTTGCTTTTCATACCTGCAGGACTTCAGCCAATATTACTGTCCAAATCTTACAGAGTGTTACTCTATTGACAAGAGATTCCATATAGCACTGTGTCAAATCTGGTAAACCACATTACCTAAAGTGTAGGAATGCTCATGATCATGGGACACACTGGTCATATCCCATACTGCACCACCAAGAAGCTGCTGGAAAAAGTGGAACAGCCTCCTCGAAGCACAGCTGAAGTTCTATCTTTTTTTTTTTTTTTAAGATTTTATTTATTTATTTGACAGACAGAGATCACAAGTAGGCAGAGAGAGAGAGGGGGAAACAGGCTCCCCGATGAACAGAGAGCCTGATGCAGGGCTAGATCCCAGGACCCTGGGATCATCACCTGAGCCAAAGGCAGAGGCTTTAACCCACTGAGCCATGTAGGCGCCCCTGAAGTTCTATCTTGAAGGTGATACTTTGTGAGGATGGTGAACCACCCTCTAGGGCACAGCATATATGTTGAATCAAAGACTTCATATAGTGTTCCATCCCCTATAAGGAGTCTACATGGGTCTAAAAACCAAAGGGTGGAAGCAGGAGTGACCATACTTAACTCCCTGTTGGGAAACAATCCATTTGGGAAATTTGGGCCTCTTGTCCCCAAAGCGCATTCCTCTGCAGAGTTAGAATTTCTCTCCTCTCATGGAAGACCACCTCCACCAAGGGAGAGATATCAGTAGGCAAGAAGAGTCACTATCTTGGCTGAGATAATTGACACCGATCATCAAGAAGAGGCAGTGCTATAATTACATGACTGAGGCAAAGAGGACTATGTTTAGCATGCAGGTGATTTATTTGGGAACCTCTGTTCTCCCTTCAGTTCTAACAGTCAATGAGCAAGTGCAGCAATCAGAAATGAGAATCTGGGTTGTGTCACCAAGTAAACAGCCTGCACCAGCTCTTGAGGGTGATTGGATCTATACTTGCTAGTGGAGGAGGGAGACAATGAGTAGCCTTTGGGATCCTAAGACTTACAGCAATGCTGGGGATTGTAATTTTTCCCCCCAAACGTTCTCTTCTAAGATTCCCCCTGAAAGGGAGGCCCACCAGAGTCTTGAAGGAGTGGCTCCCCAAATATATATGAAGTGGATCCAGTGGCTCAAGGAATGACCTGTGATGAACATGGAAATGTACCATACAGTTCTCCCTTCAAGACAGGACATGTTGCCAGGCTTCTAAGCACCAAGCGTGCTATCAGAAGACAACCCTCAGCTGTCTGTCCATTGGGAACTGACTCTTTACTTGGGCATGCTACTCTTAAATTTTTTGGATTTGCTTCCTCTCACTTGCCACCCTCTACCCCATAAGTAAGGATGATAAATACTTTCCCTACTCAATAGTATTAAATATGGCATTTAAACATTTAAATCAGTGCTTACTGATTTGTGGTAAGGACTTAATAAAAGTTAATTGGGTTCCTTCAACTTTACCTTACTGTTTTCTTTCAGGAATTTATAGCCTCATTTGATAATAAATAAATGGTATGTGGGAAGGGGAGTCAAATCACCATTAAAGTATATGATTCTAATGATTCTATCCTCAAAATATGTGCTTCAAGCTAAGTGAGCTCTGGAACATCATTGTGACCTGGGGAGGTAAAGGAAGGCTTCTTGAGGGATATAGAAGTTTAGCTGGGCTCATAAAAACTGGGCAGAGGACATGGAGGGAGTGGGGCGGGTGTGCAGGTGGTCCTAATTTAGGTAAACAGAATTCAGAAAGGCAAGTGCCAGGTAATTAAGTTTGCACAGTGTTGCAATGGTTTTATTTGTTTTAACTGGTGACTTTAGATATAGAGGATGTATATCTTATAATGTATACAGTGTATTTTGAAATGTATGACAAAAATATGAACTGTTATTATAACCAAGAGGAATCTGAGAAGAAAAAAAAAACTGGATAAGGACGATGTTGAGCTATGTACTCATCTCAGACAAATACATAAAACCTTTGAAATTATGACATAACCAGTACTGTTAGATTTATGGCCTTGGGTATTGCTCTCATTCCAAGCTCCTGCTTTACATTTATCATCTTTATATTCATCTGGCATCTCTATTTTCAATGTCTTACAAATTTCTCCCTCTCCTAGTAACCTTTTCAGCTGAAATTTCATATGCTTCATATCAGTTCAGAAGCAAATTCTTTTCTGGAAGGTTGAATCTATCTGTTTGGCCATTTCTGAATTACCCAAGCATGAGCAAATGTTGTTTAGGAAATTTGTCAAGATCCACTTTTTGTGTGTTCAGATTTAATTCAAGATGGTTTAAATTTAAACCTCCGGAGCTGTCATGCACATATTCTCTCAGAAGAAAAACATTCTTTGCTTTGAAATATAATTGGTTGAGGTTTACATTCTGCTTTCTGTATATATGGAGTGTGGTTATGAAGAGATCTACTTGAATCCTGGAAAATCTTTGTATTTCCAGTCCCTCAATACATACGTATTTAGAAAAATGCTTTTCTTTCTTTTCTTTTCTTTTCTTTCTTTCTTTTTTTCTAACCCCCAAACCATCAGTTGTCTAGGAGGATTCAAGGGTAACAGCTCCTGTTTGGCTATACTGACAGATAGTAATAAAAGTTTTATTCTGTGAAAAATTAGAAAATAAACATAAGAAATATTCTTTTTTTTTTTTAGGAGCTTGAACGTTGGTCCTTCTATTGTAGCCAAGAATATTTGTGTTGACAGTAGCATCTTTTAAGAAAATATTGGATATATTGACAGAATTTTCCTAAGATGACATCTTTTCATTGTATGAATTATAAGTGCCCTGAAGTCCTGGGAACTTACAGAATTAAAAAGAATTGAAGTAGGAAGGAGTGGATGGGGCAGAGAGGGGAGAGAAGAGAGCAAAAACAGCTTCCTTCTGACCTGGCAGACAGTTTCAAGACATATGGACTTCTTCTGGTTCTATTGCTGCATGACAAATGACCTCAAAACTTAGTGGCTTAAAGCCACAACAATCCTTTTATTATTGCCATTGTATCTCTGGGGGTTGTCTGGGCTCAGTTGGACAATTTTTGTTCAGGGTCTAGAATCATCTGAAGTCTCTCTCATTCACTGGGGTCTGGCACCTGGGCTGGGAAGGCTCAAACAGAGGTTCCTTGGGTATTTCTTTCTGTCTTTACGTGGTCTCTCCAGCATCGTAGCTTAAGCGTGGACAAATTTCTTTCAAGGTAGTTCAGGGTTTCCAAGGTCCTTGTCCCAAGTGAGAGAGCCAAATGGAATCTGTAGTGTCTTTTTTAGCCTAGCATCAGGTTCAAGGGGGAGGCAAACAGACTCCATCTCTTGGTGAGAGGTACACCAAAGAATCTGCAGATGTGTTTTTAAAACTACCACAGGAATTCTCAGACCTCTGACAGAAAGTCTGGGACAAAATGAGTCATTCCCTAAACCACAAATTGGTTCATTGTGGTTCCCTTTCTGCTGTGGTAGAAGGATACTGTCGTGTTTAAGGGCTCCTGCTCTGGAGTTAGACTGCCTGCCTGGGCTTGCCTCTGCCCTGGCACTTACTAAGCCTGGAACTTTAAGCAGCTCTGGGTGCCTTGGTTTTCTTATCTGTAAATTGGGGATAACAAGAGGTAGCATTTATTGAGTACTTAGTACGTATCAAGATATTGTCCTAAGTACATTATATACTGTTTTATTTATTTATTTTTTTATTACCAAGATACCCTATGAAGTAGTTACCTACCTCCTAAAACATAGGGTTGATAATAATAGAGACATCTTTCAGGTCTGCAATGAAATGAGACCATCTGTTATGTTTGCTCTTGACGTTATTAAAACTGTCGGGTCAAATGCTAGTGACACCAGGTCAGGAGTCGTTTCCAGAAATGGACCAAACGTGCACAATGCCACACAGGAGAGATCGTTTACGGTATAGCGTGTAAGACCAGTCGGAGCCAAGGAGGTTCAGATTTCTTGACAGGTGATAAAAAGGCACAAATCCCCTGCCATTCCGGGTCTCATTTGGGGGTTATGGGTACAGAATCCAGCGCAGTCTTGCAGACTGAGACCAGGACTACCGCTCTGAGTTTTCAAAACGGGAGTGTTTATCTTTTTCCTGAAAAGAAATCCACGCCGGGCAGTTGGAGGAGTTCCTCCCGGACGGAGCACACTCGCCTCTCGGCCTGAGTGTCGGGAGCCCGCGTTGCGGTGGGATACACGGAGCTGACACCCTTCCAGGGCACCTCCTGTGCACTGCCTCCCGTCGCGTCCCCTGGCGTCCCCTGGGCATCCCAGGCTCCCGACTCCACGATCCACCTTCCCCTCCTCCCTCTCCACTAAGGTGACTACCCCCGCGATTGCAGAGCGCCGATCTTGCCAGCCCGGGCAAAACCCGGAGAGCTGGAATCCCGCGCCCGGAGCGCCCTGGCGGCCACTGGGCATGCTCCGTTGTCAGGCAGGTTCGGGGCTGCGAGCCGCTTTTGCGCCGCGTCCGCGGCGGCGCGTCCTCCTCCTCCCGAGCAGGCAGCGGGCGCATGATGGCGGCGGCGGCGGCGGCAGGGAGCGCCAGCGGCGGGGGCAGCAGCGGCGGCGGCGGCGGCGGCGGCGGCAGCAGCAGCAGCGACACGTCCAGCACCGGCGAGGAGGAGCGGATGCGGCGCCTCTTCCAGACGTGCGACGGCGACGGGGACGGATACATTAGCAGGTACTGGGGAGGTACGCGAAACCGGCTGGGGCGCAACCAGCCTCTCCGCGCTGCCCTTGACCCCTCCTCTGCCCACTCGCCCCAACTTCCAGCAAGTTGCTCAGAAGCTCACGGGAAAAGTTGGCTGCGACTTCGAGAGCGCGTCGCCGGCTCGGCCACCAAGGCGGAGGGGCTGATCTGCTCGCCTTCTGGTGGTGCCAGTTGGGTCCAACTTTTCCCAGCGCTGTCTTTGTCTGGGCGTTAGGAGACATCTCTTTAGGATGCGAGTCCTCCCCGGGTCTTGGAGAGCTCATGCCTGTGCAGAATCGAGTTCTGGCCACTTGTCCCAGGTAGGAGGGTACTGCCCTGCAGCCTCTGGCTCCCGGTGTCAGGCTGCTGTGGCAGCATCAGTACGGCTGCTGAGTGGGCAGCCCCGGGACGGAACCAGGATAGGGATGCGCTGTCAGTGACAGAGTTGGGCATGAAAACAGGCTGCGAAGAACTTTCGGGTGCGGCAGAGCCCCTGTGTTCCAAACTGCGGAACCCACAGAATGGACATAGCTTGCCACCCAGTACTGTTAGCTCGAGGGAAACCAAGCACGCAGGCACAAACTGGGGGTTTAGAGGTGAGTCAGGAGCATAGACCCGACTCCCTACCTCGGCTCCGCAAGCTGACCAGGTGAGCCTCCAGTGGGGTATGAGCGCGAGACCACTTAAAACCCTCGGTGTGTTTGCTTCTGGACTCCCTGCAGGGTTGTGTTGTAGCTTCCAGCCGCAGGGCTTGGCCAAATAATTATTTCTGCCCGCATTTTTAACACTTAACACACACAGATGACGAAGAAGTCACGCGTAATGTTTTATGATCTGCTTCTCTGAAGGGTTGACACAGAGCACTGAAGACCTTCCACGCTGAAATTTGAATTGCCTTCTAGGAAGGCCACCTAGGTTGTATATTACATGTTAGTTTAGCCTTTGTGTTGATGATAGTAAAGATCTCTGAAAATCCCAGGCTGCCTCCTGCTGATTGTCCTTGCCTACTTAGAGGGAAAAAAAAAAAAAAAAAAAAAGAGTGGGGAATTCCCCCCACCCCTAATTTTTAAAAAAGATCTTTAAAACAGGTAATTTGACATGGAAGATGTTGATAATTTAAAAAGTAATAACTTATGTGGGACTCCATTCAGTTATGATGACTTGACTGAATCTTACTACTTTTCTAGAGTTTCACTGGGAAACATTAGAGAGATGTCAAAAAACTTTATTGAGTAATTCTATTCTGAAATGAAAAAAACATATACTTCTAGTTGACTCCACGTAGATTTTCATCTGGAAGTCTTTCCCTGTTTGGGTCCTGTGATGAAAAATTTCATCATATAGTTTAGATTTTTTTTTTTTTCCTGCTTGAATAGCCTACTTGAATTTCCTGCTTGAGTGCCCGTTATCTTATTTGTGATAATAAAAACAGTCTACATTCTTCACATTAGGATGCACAGAGAATTTAATGTCACGTGGGCAAGGGTGCATACAGAAAACGAGCAGAATTCTCTCCTCCCCTTCCTTTGATTTGGGTTTATCTGAACTACACCTTCTGTACAAATGTTCATATTATTTTGAATGGTGGTTCTGTCTCCTCTGAAGAATTGTGAATTCTGTAGGCATAATCTGAAGACTTCGTTTTGGAGGATGAGGCATTGTATATAAGGGTGTGGTAGTAAACAGGAGATTTCAGATTAGAGTAGAAACCTGCTATGGCAAAAGTGGAAAAAAAACTACCTTTCCTTGAGCCATATCACTTTAATACATCTGCTTGAAAGTTGAAAGGTATGTGCAATAATGAACCCTAAGGCATAACTTCACCTGTGGGCAGAGTTGCTCTGGACGTTATTTTATGCTGTGAAAAACTCCCATAAAGGAGGAGTTCAGGTATGGCAATCTCATTGCAAGGAGGCACCAAGGAACCTCTCTAGAAGTATGTTTATATAGCACATGCAGTTTTACCTGGAACATATGTTTATTTGATATGGTTTGGGAAAGGAAGTTATGAAGATAAGTGGCATTAAATGCCTTCCTCTCTGGAGCTCCTCCTTTGTGCTACTTTTGTTAAATGACCTTTACTGGCCACTCTACTGTGGGTGATGAGGAGTGGAGGGCTGTGAATTTTCTCTTTTATAATCATGAGAGTTGGACTTTCTACACTAAAACCTTAAAATTCTTGGATTCTTCAAAAGGTGTTAAGTTCATGCTCATGGCATATACCACTGTATCTGTTAGGATTTTAGATGGCTATATAAAATGGGAAACCAATTGGACAGTCAAATAAAGATGGACTTTTTCACCTAGAGGTTCATTCAGGCTGGGACAGCCGTTCCACAAGAGTGTCAATGCCCAGCTTCCTTCCATCTTCTGCATCACTATTCTTCATATAAAACATTCATCCTCATGGTTACCTCCCAGTCTTAAAGCGATTCCAGCCTCATGTCCAAGTTCCAAGGAGAAAGGTATAAAAAGAAGCTGAAATGAGTAGTGCCTATATCATTAGAGCAGAGCTTTCCCAAATCCCTTAATTGAAATCTTATTGGTTAAACTCCATCACCTTACCACACACTCGTGTTCTTGCAGTAAAATTCAAGGAAGCACATAATTCGATTAGTCACACCGCCTCCTAAACAAAATCTGAGTTCTGTTACTAAGAGCAGGGAATGGATATTGAGTAGGCAAGTAGCAACCTATAATAAAACTTGCATGGGAATCCTCATTCAACTATTTTGGCTTTGGTCCTTGACTCAACTCTCATTCTCAAACAGGAGTGTGCTGGAAACCTCATGTTTGGAGGAAGGCTAGTGGAAGATATATAGACTGAGACCAGGAGGGGATATGTCAGGGCACACAAACCCAGAAAGATGGAGAGAAAGGGTGGGGCTTCAAATCTTCAATATTCTTTTGGCCCATACTTTTCCAGCAGGCTGACAAAAAAGGACACCAGCTCACTGGAGATTCCTGGAATTGCTGCCTCTGTCCAGGAACTCCCAGCCTTCCCCCACCACCGGGCCCCAGAACCATCCCTGTGGATAGTTAAGCTGGAAGAGACAACTACTCGTAGGTAGAGCCAGACTGCAGCTTGGACAGGGAGAATTGGGACTATCGTGGGACCATAGTAGGCTCTTCTGCTACATTTCATTAACTTTATGATCATTAACCCCACATTTTATAGTATTGAATTTTTTGGACCCTATTTACCATGGTATAGGAGGTGGTGCGTTTACTCTATTTGCTAAAATTAATTTCCCTTTGGAATTTTAAAGCTTCCTATATTTACCTTTCAGTTTAAGAAACTGTCTTGAATATTTGACAGATACCCAAAACCAACATCTACATTTATATCAAGTAGCCAAGCCTCAGCTCAAACTTTGGTGCCTTAGAGAGAGCTTCCCTGACTACTGTATCCAAGTGGGTTAGCTCTTCCCCACCGTTATTTGCTATCATAGTGCCAGGGACTTTCTGCCATAGTACTCTCTACAGTCTATAACTGCATCTCTATTTCCTACTTTGTTTGCCTGTTTATTGTCAGTCTCCCACTAGTTGTAGCTTCATGAGGGTAGGAATCATGTTTATTTTGTTAAAATAGTACACTCTGGGGTGCCTGGGTGGCTCAGTGGGCTAAACATCTGACTCTTGATTTCAGCTTGGGTCTTTTTTTTTTTTTTAAAGATTTTATTTATTTATTTGACAGAGAGATCACAAGTAGGCAGAGAGGCAGGCAGAGAGAGAGAGAGGAGGAAGCAGGCTCCCCGCTGAGCAGAGAGCCTGATGCAGGACTCGATCCCAGGACCCTGAGATCATGACCTGAGCCGAAAGCAGTGGCTTAATCCACTGAGCCACCCAGGCGCCCCTCAGCTTGGGTCTTGATCTCAGGGCCCTGAGCTCCATGCTGGGTGTGGAGTCTACTTAGAAACAACAAAAAAAAAACTAGCAAATAAACAACAACAACAACAAAAAACCAGTATGGTCAGGAGCTAGCACAGTATTTGCCATAAAGTATTCAATCAGTAAATTCTGATGAAGAAATGACTGAGTATAAACCCGGTATGTTCAGGTATTTTGAAAAATCTTCCAAGCATTTTCATTTTCAAGTGTATTCAATATTTATAAAGTACTTTAAATGTGAGTGTATTTTATTAAAGAATATTTTTCTTTTAAAAAAATTATTTATTAGAGAGTAAGAGAGGGGTAAGGGACAGAGGGAGAAGAAGACTCCTTGCCAAGCTAGAAGCCCGATATGGGGCTCCATCCTGGGATCCTGGGATCATGACCTGGGTGGAAAGCAGATGCTTAACCGACTGAGCCACTGAGGTGCCCCAAGAATATTTTCTTTTGAAAATAACTGTGTTGGGCTCCCTGCTCAGCAGGGAGTCTGCTTCTCCCTCTGCTTGTACTCCTTGTCTGTCAAAAATAAATAAACAAAGAAACAAATAAATTCTTGAAAAAATAACTTCCTTCTTATTATATAAAAGATGTTGAAAAATTGGAAAATGCAGAAAAGTTTAAAAATAAAATAAAAATTACCAATTATCCCCAAGCCAAGGAATATCATTTCTATTTTCCTGGTGACATAGCTACATCATGTCATTCCTCTAGCACATTAAAAATGATTGGATAGGTGCGCCTGGGTAGCTCAGTCGATTAAGCATCTACCTTCAGCTCAGGTCATGATCCCAGGGTCCTGGGATCCAGCCCTGCATCAGGCTCCTGCTCAGCAGAGAATCTGCTTGAGATTCTCTCTCTCCCTCTGCCCCTCACCCCTGCTCATGCTCTCTTTCTCTCATAAACAAACTTGAAAAGATGCTTACTTCCCCCCTTTAAAAAAGGAATTGGATAAAGGGAAAGACATCCCCTGTTCATAGATGGGAAGATTTAATATTGTTATGATAGCAGTGCTCCCCAGAGTTGATCCACAGATTTAATGCAAACTTTCTCAAAATCCAAACTGCCATTTTGTGCAAAAATTGATAATTTGACCCTAAAAT